TTTAATATACTTTTTATATAATTCTTTTCTTATCCAAACACTGTATAGTTTTTATACTGTTCTATATGTAGTTTGTTTTTGTTTTACTTCAATTTAAACCGGTCATATATATGTATAAATATGTTTAAATGTATATATCTTTTCATGAGGATGATATATATATATATATATAGATATATATATATAAACATAAACATATTTTAGGGTTGCTATGATTCAATTTAGGGTGCTTTAATGTGACATGAAAAGAGGCAATGTCCAAAAGTAATAATGGTAAATGTCCTGTACTTATATAGCGTTTTTATTCAAGTCAGGAGACTTGACCAAACGTTTACACTACATTCATTCACCAATTCACGCACACACTCACGGTGGCAAGCTACATTGTAGCCACAGCTGCCCTGGGGCACACCGATAGAAGCGGGGCTGCCGTACACTGGCACCACCAGGCCCTCTGACCACCATCAGTAGACAATGCAGGTGAATTGTATTGCCCAAGGGCACAACGACACTGAAAGTCGGAGTTGGGGCTTGAACCGTCAATCCTTCGATTTCAGGGCAAACTTCTACATCCAACGCCACTGTCGCCACTCTAGCAGCTCTGCTTCATCATATTTTACTCCAGTAAAAGTATAACGTTGCCTTTAAATTAATTATTCCTATTTATTTATTTATTATTTTATATTATTTTTAATACAGTGAAGCTACTAGATATTACAATGTAAAATACTGACACACACTCTATCCCAGTAGGAGGCTCTAATGCACCAAGACTGGCTACTCACAATAAAAAGAGTTCCACGCATTTCTCTAATCGACCATCAGGGGGCAGCACAAAGCTTCCTTATCATAACAAATCTAATCATCTTCACACGAAGAAGACGTTTTGGGGCCAGCCGCTGCAGCTGAACTGCCAATATAAACATTGGCCCGTCTTTGAGGATTTGTGTGCATTTTATCAGCGTAAACGTTGTTCTTCCAAGGTTTAATTGCAGTTTTGCATTATGATAAAGGAAATGAACCAGGTTTTGGTGTTTGATCTCGATTGTAAGGATTAGAAAGCTAGCAAGGCCTTGATGTTGTCCTGCTAACGGAAGGTAAGAAATGATTTGCTTCATAGAAACAGCTAACTGGCTAACCCCAAATCCCTAGATAAAAACCGAATTATATCCAAGTTTACTACATTTGCATGAGAACCGTTATATAAAATAACACTAAATGTTTTATGTGAATATTTTTATTCAGTTTTTTACCGCAGCGCAGGGCAGGTTTTAGAGCGTTTAGTCTCGGTTCTAAGTGACAGTCGTTGTTCGGTGCAGAACTTCACCCGGAGCTCCATTGACTTTTATTATTATTATTCATCTTAGGCTTTTAGCTCAACTCTTGCTCATCAGTGTTTGTAAATGTATTCATGTTTGGGGCTTATTTGACTTTCGGCCTAATAATATTTAGTGGTAGACAGCAGCAGAACTGAATAAAACCTGATCGGGCCTGGTTCTGTAGATCATGGAGGCCCAGAACAGGGATGCTTTAAACCTGCAGCCAGCTGGAATGAATCATGGACAGTTAAAATCTCCCCATCAGTTGAGAAATGGTTTCTTTTTCCTGGATTTAACCTGACAGCATCATCAGGATTGGGTTTAGCTGGATAAATGTGAACTGAATGGGCTGGTGCCTGATGGGACATGGAGTCCTTTCCTCTGTCCTTTACTTGGACACCTTTGTTCATAGTAATGTTTTTATTAAAACAAGTGGAATTTCCTGATCAGAACTAGACTTTATGCTTTAGTTCTTGATGATTCTACTAAGCCACAGTGATAGAGGAGTAGTGATCTAGTGGTGAGAGAGTGGATCCCAAAATGCTGCTCAGTGTTTCCTAACAGGTAGGTTCAGATTAGAGGACTGACTTCATAATAATGTACAACTGAATTAATAAAAGTGACTTTTGTTATTACTATTTTATTGTTAATATTAGAGGAGCTGATAACCTCCTTTAAGGAAACAATTTTACACCCTGTTTGTTAAAAAAAGTGCAACCGCAGGTAGGGATGCACGATATAATCTGCCCCCTATCGGTATCGGCCTGTATC